TTGGAACAAGTCATCCCTCCTCGAATCCCTCAGCCGCCGTCTGTTCGCCCAACCTTGCTTTTAGATAAACCGCTCCCCGAGCTGCCCGCCAAACCTCTACCAGAGGCTCCCTCAATCATGGATGCTGGCTCAACCGCCTGGAGCGACGACAGCAGCATGGTTTCCAGTTACTATGGCAGCCGACGGTTTTCCGAAGTGTCTACTACCGAGAGCTACCCCGTATTTGTTCGCTCAGGGTCCGATGATCTGACCGAGCTAGTCGATCATCCTCCCGCCTCCGCCCCCATTGATCAATATGGGGATTCTAAACCGCTGGCCATTACCGCCACCTTCTTACACGATGCGCATGTCGACCGACCAGCCCCTTGGACCGTCAAGCGAGCCGGTCCTAATCACTATTTCCGCGAGAAGAAATGGGACTTTTTCCCAGAACTCGCGCCTCAATCCGCCTTACCTTCCTGTACCACCAACCATGCCGCTGCTTCTCGGAAGAAGAACAGTAGTCGGTTGAACCTCGCGGTCTTCGACTTCTCCAAGTCACGCGGTCGCTGGAGCTCATCCGACAAAGGGGGACGCGCTCTTGCGCATGATGTTCGAGACTCGATTCGATCTTACATGCAACGCCGCTTATCCAAACATTCGGTAGACCGCGACACTGCCCGGCCGAGCTCGCGGCCAGACTCGCGACCCGACACAGTATCTTCGGACTATACGCGCAACCAAACACCATCGATTGAGTGGACGCTGTCGAAAGAACGCACTGATGCAGTGAGCCCTCTGATGCCACCTAGTCCCGTGGACTTTCCCATCTCAGGCAAGCGGCTGTCCCGAGCGTCATCACGATCCTCACGATCGACAGTCAGCGCTCGAGTAAAACGCCCGCCCCCTCTTACCCTGTGCAAGAAGCAGCTCTCTGGTCCTCTGAGCCCTTATCTGAAACATGGGGCTTCCCTCTGGGAAAAGCCGGGCCGCGAGAAGCGCGTGAGCTATCGGCAAAACCGCCAGGTGCGGTTTCCGAAGTATGCAAAGAGGAGCCCGCCAACACCGAAAGGGTTCATCTCGTCGGCCACGCCTCCTCTGACACCTCCGGCCCGCTCCCAGATCCAGCAGAACACTCGGGACTACGTCAAGGCGTTTCACAATGGGACCTCCCACCTGCTGGGTGCTATCGGTGGGGCTCGGAGGAAAATCACTGGGGCCAAGCTTGAGCGACGACACTCGCAGCTGAAGTCACAAATCCGACTCATTGGCCCTGTGAGTCCATATAACACCCAGGGACAGACTGATCCATGGGTATAGGCCTTGGCAGTCACTCGCTTCCTATTCTCTCCATCTTTTACCATATTTGATGTGTGTGGTCAACACTATATTTCTGGTTTAGTAGTCATATTAGCGTGCTTCTTGCCCTCATTCTTCTTATATTTCACATTTGTTGTTTATACTTGATATCCCGTTGGCACTCTGCAGGTTCTATGTCAGGCGTTGCGGTTTCGTGCTAAGCGAGCTCTAAGAATGTTAGTTTATAGTCACGGTGCGCCATTCATGACATTGATTTATGACACCATCATGGTTCAGACCAAATGATACACTGTTAGCCTTTTAGCCTTGATTCTCCTCTTTAATCCCCTCCCCCCCCACCACAAAGTCTCTCAACATGTCAACTGCACCCCGAAGAATGTGACCTGAAACACGTGCCAGGGCCGGACTGCTGTCGCCCCTTGCGGACCTCGCAACGTTGCCCGAGTCACCTACAGGATTTGTCATTGGCGTGCATGAATCGCATCTCCTGCATGCTACAACCCGCTCATTCCTGATGAAGGGCGTCTATGTATGCACCATCCTGTCCCCTTGTACCACCCTCGGGAAATTCAACCACGCTAGCAGCCTGACTTTCAGGATACCGGCATTAAATGTGCTGTCACTGTGAGTCATGATTTAAATTGCGAGGGAGCAGTAGAATGTATCAGACTGAGGGATGTGGAACATTCTTGCTTGTCACATCCAGACCCATGTTTTTGAGGACGATGGGTGCATTTGCGGGGTTGTGGAGTTGCGGAATGTGTTCTTCTGTACCTTGCAGGTGTCAATAAGTGGGTGATTGTTTGGGTTGGTGATCTTCTTCTGATCTAGTTCTCTGCTGCGATGGTAGTACTCGTGAGTTTGTATACGTATCTATGTTGTCGATGGAAATGCTTGGGGGGTGTGGGAGGTAGGCGAACCGTACTGCTTTGGACATTCACTTTAAGTCCTTAGAATGGATGAGGTGAAATTTCTTGTCTTGTGGATTGTTGGGTGAGATGGCAGCATAGCTGAGTATTCACTTCTTATCTGACAGCGAATTGACCTAGATTTGAAAGGACTTGCTTATCTCTCATGTTAGTCTTCAGTCTCATCTCAGTTTTGGTCGCTGATTTCTTGATCTTCTCCATACGAACCCAAGCCCGAGCTGGGAGATGAATAAACATCTTGACTACAAAATCAAAATCAGACTTTCTGTAACTGAGAACTGCTGAAGATGATATAACCTGGTGAATACTTCACCCAAGTCACGTCTTGTCAGTCCCTCGGCCTTCAGCATAAGTAGAGCCTCCCTCCCCTCATCCTCCCTCCTCCTTTCCACAACCTTCCACTTCGCCTCTACCAAAACCCTCAGTTTCCACCCCACTCATCCCAACACCATCCTACGAGCCCTGACACTGGTATTATTTATCTTCAGGCATGTCTAGTGGAATCATTTTCCACGAGTTCAGACCACTATCTCCTTACCATCTTCTTTCTCCCACGATCCTCTTACTGTGAGGGTTGCTATTCGACACCATGGCCAGGAAGAAATCCGATTGACACAAATAACACCCAGCCTCATCTTCTTGCCAAGCGCCAGTGATTGCAAAAGTAAGAACATCCCCAACACACAAAAGTCCTTCCACCGTCAACTCATACACTGAACGTCTAATCCGAACAGCTTGTCTCTCGAACGGAATCAGTGATCTTCTTCTTCCTCAGATCACTGCCGCACCTCATGTTGAGGTGCACCGACTCGAGTGTGGGCCCAATCATGTTTCCTTGAGGATTGTCATGGCAAAGGTACCAGATGTTGTTTGCATCGTGCAGCACCCTCTGGAAAACCTCGATGCGTGCATTCGCAATAAGTGCATTCCTCTTTCGACCAGGCAGCAGCACAAACCAATGTTCTGTTTTCGATTTCCATTTTCTATTGCTCTGTTGAGCAGAGGCTTTTCTTATGGGACCGACAGCGGCCTGTAAAAGCGACCCATTTCTGCGACACGCAGGCAACTGTCGGGACCGACAGCAGCACACAGCGACTTTTTGTTTCTTATTGCCCTGTTGAGCAGATGCTTTTGACGTCGGACCGACAGCAGCCTGCAGGGCTAAAGTACTTGTTAGGAAAGAAGAAAAGAGGTGGGCAGTAACGCCCCGTCAATTCCGGCTGCAGATACAGGATTGACTTACTCAACCGGAGTCTCGCAAAGTAAGTCCAATGGTTTTGCTCTTGTGTTTGTCGACCAAGCTGCTCATGATATGCTCCTATGTACAGAAGTCTGCGATCTCCTCCATTTGGAACTCTCATAGCTTTTTAGCTGAGGAAACCTTTGCTCAAGGTACTTCAAGTACGGAGTACTTCGGTTTAGATTGTCGAAAGAGACGAAGAGCTTGAGATCAAGACGGCGGAGGAGCGTCACAATTTCGAACGGTGGAAGGCCAAGTGCACTCACTGTATTTACAAAACCGACTTTAATCGGTCGACCTTAGCCCTCTCCGCTAGGGACGGTACTTGCTTGGTTTGGTGTGCTCGATCCTGAAGTCGAATTTCTACGCCTACTGTGGTCCACCTTCCTCAAGGGCATTGAGCTGGCTTAGGGTTGAGGCTATGATACTTGTTTGTCTTGTTTGTTCTAAAGAAGATGACTATACTGTGATCTCAAAGACCGGAACTCGTGCAACAGCCGGAGCTTGTTAGACAACCTCGAAAGCCAGTGCCTTCGCCCTTTAATATAGATCTGTACGTACGTGCTTTCCATCCTCAACACTCTAGCTATCACCGATAAACACTCTCATCCTGCTTTCTCCTCCTGAGATTGGCGAAGTGCCCTCAAGGTCTAGTTTTTAAGTAGACTAATGCTCAGCCAGATACAGGCTTTACTCAAGCATGTTTGGCCTTCTGCCAGGTCATGCTGGTTGCTCGACCTGCCTCTCGAGCTCATCCTGGAAATAATCTCCTACCTCCCGCCTGCCTCGCAGGCTTGCTTTGCCCTGACCTGCAAGCCTCTCTACAACTGTTTTTCGTACGTGCTGAAGGATGAGGCGCTCTGCTTTCCGCGCCTGCTGAACAATCTCAATCCCTTGATCTCCCTGAACCAGAAACATGTGGTCCGGAACCAATTTCTCCTTCTGCTTCAAAACCGTCGTTGGAGGTACTGTGCAGCCTGCCTCAAATTACATCCTCGCAAGGAATTCCCGCGGCGGCTCCGGAGCTTGACACCATCCATTACGCGAAAGTGTGCGCCATTCGCCGGGATCCTCGACCTTTGCGCCTGCACTAGCCTAACGCCTCGCGGGATGGAACGGCTGACGCGATCACTCCAAGGGGCAATATGCGAACGGGATCAGCGATATCCCATTCTCGGAGAGGAACCGGATGGACGATACCAGTTTTCGCGCGACGATCAAGGTAACCGTACCTTGACGCACACATGCTCTTCACCTTCGCAAGCCAAAATCACGTGCAGCCTGGAGATGACAATTTCGTCCGACGGCGCAGACAGTCTCGTAGTAAGGACATACTACCACTATAGATTCCGCAAGGCACCCCCAGCTGCGATCTGGTGCAAGAAGATCCCTACCTGTCCTCACAGGGACCTTAATTCCGAGAGATACTTTCCGCACAGAACTTGTTTCGCTTGTGCCGCATGCAGTAAATGGATCACGGGTGACTTGCGGTCCCTGACTGGTACGATGATGGTTACTCGAGTGTTAAGCACGGATAACTCTCGCGCAAAGACCCACCACCAATTCCGCTGCCCTGATGAGGGATCCTATTCCTTGCACGCGTGGAAACTCTGTGGTGGGCCAAGGCAATGCCATTCCTATATGCACTGAATGTGTATTAAATGAATAGGATAGAATGGAACACAAAGCTTGACAGCCCTTTCGCAGTACAACCCCCCATTTAGACGTTGATGATTTGATATATACTTTCATTCTGGTATCGCTGCACGGGGCTTTAGCTCCAGCAAGACCCGTTGAACATCTTCCCTCAGCTTAGCTAGCTCTTCATCCACGGTCCCCAAAGCATGCCTGGCCTTGACATCGTGATGCAGCTCCACTAACTCCTTTGCTTGACGGAGCTGGTCCTGTTCCGTCTGTATAGCAGGTGTTTCTTCCCTGTTGCTGGGCTGTGATTGTGTCTCTTCAGGGCGGGAATCCAATCTCTCTTGAATGGTCACGAGTGCCAGAGCATCATTGTAATCCTGCGAGACATCAGTCTTTGTCTAGCATAGAGTTTGAGCTCTACTCGACCGGCGGCTGGATGAGAGGGAGGCACAAAACCTACACAGACGCGCAGTGACGTGAGATCGGAGAGGATTTCCGCTACTTGCATGGTGACGAGGGTAAGTTATCAACTTGTAGAATGCGATCCTTATCAGCTGCGCTTCATTGACCGGTCTTGTGTCGCGACGGGGTCAACAAGGTGGAAGGCGGCTGGGTACAGCCCGCGTGACGTAAGAAAGTCCATTTCAATCCAGGCCATTCGTTGTTGTGGCATGCCAGTTACACTGACACTTGATCGCACCCATCACATCTCACTCTTCTATACACCTGTTGTATAATCTCCCACCTCTCGGTTCATATCTCAATGTGAAGAATAACTAATCGAAATGACACACCAGTATTTCCCCAGGACGGGGTGCCACCCCGGCTCCAACCTCCGAAGCTCGGAGAATCCGAGCTCTCCGCAATGAAAAAGCGCGGAGGGCCATTCCGCCTCCCCGGCCGATTATATTCTTATCCGCCCTGCCATCGCATCCCCAACCCTCTGCAATTCTTACGCACTTTGACTCCTCTCCTCGCTGCAATTCGGACACACAACAAACACAATGGCGTCTGCGATCAAGGCTCAGTGCAGAAAGGTCATCTGCATTGGCAGAAACTATGCGTACGGTCCCTTTGTTCACGGAACCATCGATGACCACGCTCGCCAGGCTAACGGACGTCTTTCTCTAGCGATCACATTACCGAGCTCAACAACACCAAGCCCAAGCAGCCCTTCTTCTTCCTCAAGCCCTCGTCTTCCATTCTCCTTCCCGGCCAAGGTCCCGTCCTGCGCCCCCAGGGCACCAAGTTGCACTATGAAGTCGAACTCGCTCTCGTGATGGGCAAGACGGTGCGGGACCTCGACCCGGAGGACAGCAAGGGCGCATTGGATGCGATTCACAGTTCGTGCCCCCTCTTTCCTCCCCCTCCCCCCCCCCCCCCCCCCGCCCTGCCACAATCCAAAGCATTCTGGCTAAGCATCTCTGTGATACCTAGGCTACCTCCTCGGCATCGACATGACCGCCCGCAACGTCCAAGAAGAGGCCAAGAAGAAGGGACTCCCGTGGACCATCGCCAAGGGCTTCGACACGTTCCTGCCCATTTCGCAAGAGATCACCAAAGCGCGTCTGCCCGATCCGCACAACGCCTTCCTGCGCCTGAGCGTGGGCGCCGAGGAGCGCCAGGCCGACTCGACCGGCCTGATGCTCTACCGCATCCCTCGCCTCCTGGCCGAGATCTCCCGCGTCATGACGCTCGAGAAGGGCGACCTGGTCTTGACGGGAACGCCCAAGGGTGTGGGCGAGGTCAAGTCCGGGGACGTGATGACGGCGTCCATCGAGGTGGACGGCAAAGAGCTCGAGGAGGGGCGTATCCAGGTCGAGGTCCAGGACCGCGAGGGCCGCTACCGGTACGCCGAGACCTAGAGTATTGGGTCGAATGAGGATGTAGTGGGTCTCAGAAACAATCAGTATATATACACTTACACATACAAATACATACCCCCTCAAATGAGATTTCAAGATTCTCTTAGCCAGCTCAATGACCCATCATCATCGCCCTCGCAATGAGAACATCCTCCTCATCAGCCGGAACAATCGGGATGAATCGTCTCGCTCTCGTCCTCTTGCGCACGATCCCCCGATTCTCCAACACCTCAAACCAATTCCTGACACCACCCTGACTCTTGATCGTCCGTCGTGAACCACTGCCACAAGCCCCATCCGCATCACCCTGCACAGCAACAGCAACCTTACAAACCTCCCCCCTCGCCCGCCCAGCCATCCCAGCAACCATCACCCCCGAACCACCACAGACATCATCATCCCGCCCCTCTCCTTCACCTTCTCCACCATCACAACAATCCAAACCCCCACTGTCCCACGTAGACGCAGTACTTGTACTCTCCCCCTCACCCGTGGAAGACAACCCACCCCCCCTCCCCAACCCCCACCCCAGTCCCACAGGTATACCCACCACATGCCCCAACCCAGTAGTAGCACCAGCACCACCACCACCACCAGGAGCAGCGGGCATCGAATCCGGCACCAGAACCTCCGTCTCCCCCTCCCCATAACCACCATTATTCCGCCCATCCAAACCCCCCCACGCATCCTCCACCCCGACAACCCGAACCTGCAACCCCTCCACCAACCGTCTTACCTCCCCCACCTCCCCGCGAACGAGGTCCTCAGCCCTCTGCATCCGCCTGTCCACGTCCTGCAATCCCGCCTGCTGCAGCACAGAAACCCGGTGGACTTGCGCGCGCACATCCTGGAGCTGGTCTGTTAGGGCGGTGATAGTGCGCTCCGCGGCGGCGAGGCGGGCGGCGAGCTCGAGGTTCTCGCGGCGGAGTTCGTGGGCCCAGAGGAGGGTTGTTGGTGTTGTTGTTATTGGTGCTTTAGTAGGTGATGCGGTAGTAGTGGCTGTAGCGGGAGCGGGAGCGGGAGCAGGAGCGGTTGCTGGGGGTGGTGGTGGTGGTGGTGGTGGTGGTTTTCCAGGGGTTGTGGTTGTGGTTGTGGTTGTGGTTGTGGTTGATGGCATGGTGTTTGCGTTCTGTTGAATGGTTGTTGTGGATATGGGATGGAGTGTTAGAGGTGGGTGGAGGATGGGATTGTTGGTTTTGCGGTATGATGAGGGTGTGGTTGGGCGTAGAGTATGATAGGTTTCTGTGGGGAAAGGGTAGGTAGGAGCGTGTTCTATGTGTACTGTGTACTTCGTGGGTTGGTGATGTTGAGGATGAGCGGTGATGGATGTAGATTATTTGTTGGTGGTTTGGATGGTTGGGTTGGGTTGGGTAGGATGGGTATGTAGGTGTAGATGTAGATGGATGCTGAGTCCGAAGGTTAAAAGAATGAGGTATGTGGTGGAGACAGACAGGGAAGAGTGCTAGGGGGAGACAACAACAGTAACTCTACTAGAAGACTGGATATTGACTAGCTGACTGCTGACTAGCTGACGGAGATATAGATACTTCTCGACAGCTAAATACACAAAAGCCAGAAAGTATGATACCAAACTCGCAACACTGCACTGGCACCATAGGAAAACAAGCGGTACCTTTCTCGTCTATCGTAATGAACACAGGGATACAAGCCCAGTCGGAGCCAGGGGTTCATACACATCATCATCTCCATCTCCGTCTCCCCGCATCCTTGCGGCAAAAGAGAAAAAAAAAGCCGTGGAACGAGAATAATCACATTTTAAGTGCCCGACCTTCCGACCAAGTATGAACGTAACATCCTCGACCAGCCAGAGCGAGCAAGGCACAAAATTCAAATGGGAAAAAGCGTGAGAAAAGGCGTTTCCGGAAGCGAGGAACCATGAATTACAGCAATAAAACCGCACGAACGTTGTCGCATCTCCATAACAAAAAGAAAAAGGAAAACCATAAACAGTAAGTATTCGACAAGAACACGCAGGACATGATGGCATGGCCACTGCAGGCCCCTGCCGCCCACTGCTAAAAAGAGAAAATGCTGGAGACACAGAAAGCCACTTTTTGAAGGATTCTCCTTTACCAAGATAAGCATGACGATGACAGAACGTCTTTCCCACCGCAGCTCACCCTTGGAGCGTTATTGGCAACTGCATTCGTAATCCGCATCGAGGGGAATGAGGTGATTCGGGAATTAAGGTTTTTAGATGAGGTCTGCCAGCTTGTTAGCATCATCATCATCACTATCTTAACCAAGTCAAACTTACCAGCAACGTTCATGGGCATCTCCTCGATCTGGGTGCTGTAGAACTGCTCGATCTCGCGCATCATACGGACGTCGTCAGCGGTGACGAAGTTGATGGCAACACCCTTACGACCGAAACGACCACCACGACCGATACGGTGGATGTAGTTCTCACGGTTGGCGGGGAGATCGTAGTTGATGACCAGGGAAACCTGCTGGACATCGATACCACGGGCCAAAAGGTCGGTGGCGATCAGGACACGGGAAGATCCGGAACGGAACTCCTTCATGATAACATCACGCTGGCCCTGCTCCATGTCACCGTGCATAGCGGAGACAGTGAAGTCACGGGCAGTGAGCTTGTCGGTGAGCCAGTCGACCTTGCGGCGGGTGTTGCAGAAGATGACGGCCTGGGTGATGGTGACAGTCTCGTACAAGTCGGAGAGGGTGTCGAGCTTCCACTCCTCCTTCTCGACGGCAATGTAGAACTGCTTGATACCTTCGAGGGTAAGTTCCTGCTTCTTGACCAGGATACGGACGGGGTCACGCATGAACTTGGTGGTGACCTCAAGGACATCCTGGGGCATGGTGGCAGAGAGCAGGGTGACCTGGGTGGACTGGGGAAGGAGCTGGAAGATGTCGTAGATCTGCTCGGTGAAACCACGCTAATCATGCCGTTAGCATCGCCGGTCAACCACCGCGGTCCAGTGATGAACTTACAGAAAGCATCTCATCGGCCTCGTCGAGGATGAACAGCTTCATCTGGTCGGTCTTGAGGACGTGGCGCTGGATCATATCGTGGATACGACCGGGGGTACCGACAACGACCTGGGGGCCGTTGCGGAGAGCGTTGATGTCGTCACGGACGTTGGTACCACCAATACAGGCGTGGCACTCAATGTTCATGAAGTCACCGATGGCGATGACGACCTTCTGGATCTGCTGAGCCAACTCACGGGTGGGAGCGACAATCAGGGCCTGGCAGGCCTTGAGGTTGTGGTCGATCTTCTGGAGAGCGGAGATGGAGAAAGTGGCAGTCTTTCCAGTACCGGACTGGGCCTGGGCGATGACATCGTTACCTGAAAAGATGGTTAGTCTTGGAATATACGATATGTGGAAAGTCGTTTGAAACGTACCCTTGATGATGGGGATGATGGCACGCTGCTGGATAGCAGAGGGACGCTCGAAACCGTAAGCGTAGATACCTGATTGTCGTCAGTTTGGTGCCCGCACTGACCCCACCGGAGCGGATCAGAATTTGTATCACATACCGCGAAGGAGCTCGGGCTTGAGGTCCATGGAGTCGAAGGAGTCGGTGATCTCATCGTAGTTGGACTCGATCTGTCCTGTTGTCGTTGAAGTCTCTCGTCAGTTCATCTGTTACAGTGTTTCGCATGGCCGTGTCCGTAGATGCAAGAAAATTTCCACCGTTCTAGCCGAACCCTCTAGCGGAATGACCGAAACAAGCCCCCTTCCGAAGCATACATCTCTCTTGAAGATAACAAAAAGAATATTCGCAGTTGAAAATAGTCGAAAAAGAACGTACCCTCGGGGATCTCCTCCAAACCCTTGTCGTTAGAAGCCATGATTGCGGTGTGGTTGTAAGAAAGTGATCACAAGCGAGGTGCTGTGATCGAAAAAGACGGTGGGGTTTGGGAAATAAAACTGAAAAAAAATGCCTGTTAGCGAGGAATGCAGCGGTAGACGATGAGGGGCAGGCGCAAAGGATGGGAAAAGGTAGCAAGGTAGCAGTGAGATGGAGACCTACCGAGATCACAACTTTTGAAGTTGGAAAAAATATCACAAGACTACTAGAGTCGTAGGGGTTGAGGAGAAGAAGGAAGAGAAGAAAGATCAAGGTGGAAGGGAAGGCCAACGCCTGGTGTGGGAAAATGGGGCGGGCAGGGAAAACCGGCGGCGGAACGAGCGAACTTTTTTTTCACTCCTCTTTTTTTTTTTCTTCGGTCTTCCCTGCTCTGGCTCTCTGTTTGTTCTGACGCTGTTTGATTTTTTCTGACTTTTAGCGTTGCTTTAGTGCAGCCGAGTTTGACCGCCTACTCCTTATGGCAGATAACCCATGTTTTTCTCTTGCCCCTGTATTCTGCCGTAACGCGTTTTAGTTAACCCTCACAACTTAGTACGTCCAACCACAAGACTCTCCAGAGTACACCTGAGGGTCATTCTAGGAGTTGAGGGCCTAGGTCACGGTATTGGTACTGTAATGGAATTGCTTATGTCCTAATTTCTATCGCCTTTGTCCTGCTGGCGAACGGGTATTCCTCGGTACGGTGCATGGTTGGGCATGATCTTGCCTGATTATTCCTTCCCCTCCTCAATGTGGGCGTTACTAAAATTTACTAGCGCCGTACCGCCTCTCGGCCACCCCTCCGCCTAATCGGGAAGGTCTCCAGATTTCCAGCTGTGTCACTTTTTAGTTCTACTCTAGATATCATTCTTCCCTCCCAACGCCGCAAGTATGAAAATGCCGGACATCAATTCAATTGACGGTGTCCGCGACCTGGACCCGGCGACGGTTACTCGTGCCTATCCGACTGCCCTTTCCCACCCCGAACCGGAGGATGAGGCTGCCCATGATGCAATTCCCGGCCATCCATTGGGAGTCAAGCCCAGCGGCAATGCCCTGCTTGCGACGGAGAACCTTCGGGATGCCATTGGGGTCTTCAACATTCTGCCAGATGAGCTGATACTCATGCTGCTGGAGCATCTTGATGGACCCAGTCTGGTGCACATTGGACGTACCTGTAAAGCATTCTATGCTTTCACCCGGGCTGAAGAGCTGTGGAAGGCTCTGTTTGTCGCGTAAGTTCTAGATACCACCCTGCCATGGTTGCCATCGCCAACGGCGATTTGCCTCGCAGGACATGACCCCATCCAGTGTTCCTCAATCTCAGCGCTGACTGGTAGCGCCAGATCACCCCCCGCCAAATTTACCTGGAAAGGAACATGGCGCTCCAGTTACCTCAACATCCCACCCACGGAAGTGTGCGTTTTGGATTGTTCAAACCTCTATTCCGATGTCCTGCACCGGCCCTTCCACTGCGCGCATATTAGTCTCGGTCCCTACGTCACGGGCATCCCCGCCCGCAACCAGATCGCCCGTTTTCCCGATCTCACTTTCGAAGAATTCAATGAGAAATGGTCCGATACGCCGTTCGTTCTTACCGAGCCGGTCAAGCAATGGCCCGTATACAAGACATGGACCATGGATTCATTGCTCTACGACTATGGCGAGACCGTCTTTCGCGCAGAGGCCGTCGATTGGCCATTCTATAGCTACGTCGAGTACATGAAGAACAACTCCGACGAGAGCCCGCTGTATCTCTTCGACCGGGCCTTTGTCTCCAAGATGGGGCTTAAGGTCGGACAGCTCGATCAGGAACCCGAGGCCGCCTATTGGCCGCTTGCCTGCTTTGGCGAGGACTTCTTCTCCGTGCTGGGCAATGATCGGCCCGACCGACAGTGGTTGATTGTCGGGCCCGAACGGTCTGGAAGTACTTTTCACAAAGACCCAAATGCCACCAGCGCGTGGAACGCGGTCATTCGCGGCTCCAAGTACTGGATCATGTTCCCTTCGTCGTCCAAGCTCCCGCCTCCGCCGGGAGTCTTCGTGTCGGATGATCAGAGTGAAGTGACCTCTCCCCTCAGTATCGCCGAGTGGCTGTTTGGATTCCACGCAGAGGCCCGGCGCACACCAGGCTGCGTTGAGGGTATCTGCAAAGAGGGAGAGATCCTTCATGTGCCGTCCGGATGGTGGCATTTGGTTGTGAATATTGAGCCATCTATTGCCATCACGCAAAACTTTATTCCCCGCGCGCACCTGAGCGCTGCCCTCGATTTTCTTTCTAACAAGGCAGATCAGGTTTCTGGATTTAGAAAAGACGTGCAGAATCCCTACGACAGTTTCTTGGCTAAAATGCAAGAACAGCATCCAGACCTGCTGAAGCAAGCGCAGGAGGAGCTGAGGAAGAAGACAGAAGGCAAAAAAAGAAAATGGGATGAGATTGTTCATGGAAACGCAGACCAGGAAGGGGCTGATGCCAACGAAGGTGGTGGGTTCAGCTTTGGCTTTGGTGGTGATGACAGTGACATTGAGGTCCCTTGAGTCCATTTTACCCGAAACAGCAACCAACGACAATTGCAGCAGTCTGAAAACGACTATGCTGAGCCACCATTGCCTGAATCATGCAGCCTGGCGACACTCATCCCTCAATATATCTCGAGAGAGCTTCCCGGAAACCAAGCTACCCAGCTTGCGTGGCCACCTAGTGACACGCAACCGTCTTGCTAGCGGAGGTGTCGTCTCCGAACGCCAGATACCCTACAAAGGCACCGACGGCGACAGCTAGCATAACAAAGCCATTATAGGTCATGAAAAGCAACCTACGCAGCTCAGATCAGTCCATGTCGATAAGAGGGTAGTCAGGGAACATACATAATGAAAAAGCTATAGAAGACCTGCACAGCATACAATGACGCCATGGTAATCTTTCCTCGCTGCTCGACGGACTTTCGGCTATCCCTACCTACAACGAGCTGTGAGCCACCGTTTGGGACAGGCAGTGTCGGGCTGGGAGGGTCATTGGCTGGCGGAGAATCGTCGTGGATTTCGCTGCCTTGAACTCAACAAGCGATTTGTCAGGCGCATCATCTCAGCAGAGGCATGCATACAACCCATGACTATCAAAGAGACGACAAGATATTCCCGATGCCGTTCCCCGCCGCCGCCCGCATAGCACAAGCAACGAAAGATCAAACTTACCTCCGACTGCGGCGGTCGTGTATGCGCTGAGCCTCTTCGCATGTGCCACCTCGAAACGCCTTGTAAGCTGACGGACGCCCTCATAGCCGGCGGTCAAAAGCACGATGAGTAGAAGTGAGATTAGTAGAGACAAGGTGCCGGTGACCCGCCATTGCGGAAAGACGATGCAGAGATTCTTTGTAGACCAGGTGAAGAGCATCTAGGGAGCGTTAGCAGGGTTGTCTTAGGGCAGGGCGGAGAAAAAGCAATTATATCGCCGGGTCATTTAAGAAACGGTGGAAGACGAGAGAAGAACAAATGTGATTCTTCAACTTACATTCATACTACACTGTCCCATGTCCATATCACCGTGGTCATGGCCATGGTCCATATCCATCCCCATATGGTGCATCGAATGATCCATCTTTGGTGCCGTGAAATGAAAGAAAAAAGTTTCTCACCAGAGCAGCGATACAGTAGCAGCTCTGTAAAATATCAACACTGTCCAGAGAACCCCAAGTAAATTGGTAGTTGAGAGCAGGGAGCCAGGAAGTGAGAAGAGGGAGGAATGGAAGTGAGGGATGGCGTAAGTGCCTATCGGAGTAACTCACCAACAAACCAACAAACCCTCCGCTTCTCCGCCCCAGATGCAAACCAGCCAAACAGTGCTTATTGATAAGGTCTGCCGAGCAATTGATCTTCAACCCGCCGCAACAATCATCTCCATCCATCCATTCCGATACCCTTTCGCAACTTACTCGACTCCGCGCGCCATTGAATCAACACTCAACTGATTACTGACCAGCATCGCCATCCTCTACATTAGTGTCGCGCTCACTCACTTTTCTCTACAAACAAAAGCGCGACTCAACCCGAACAGAGCCCACGCGCCCGCGACTCACCACCTCAGAGGTCGCATCCAAACCACACCTCCCAGCACCGAATTGCGCGTCACAACCTCCTTCCTGGAAGCAAACATGGCCTCACCCGCCCCCGTTCCCACTGCAACAGCAGGAGGCTCAGTTCCCACGCCCTCCCAAACTCCAACCGCAGCAACAGGAGCCGCAACAGCTACACCCTCGCACCTCCGAGACATCACGCAGCAATTGAGCGCAGACTCCAACTCCAGCTCCAACCCCAATCCCAGTGCTACCACCATCACCACCAACAACACCAATGACTCCACAAACCTCACCCCAGCATCAACAACACCAGCACCAACAGCCACAACCACCGCTCCCGCGCCCGCCGTACCAACCCCAGGCACCCCCGGCACCCCCGGAGCCACCGCATCCCACCCCCCAGCACCCACAACCACAACCACAACAACAAACGGAGCCACCGCACCATCCACCACTGACCCGACCTCAGCCCCAGCACAAACACAAGCAACCGCACCAGCAACCACATCATCAACAACAACAGCAACAACAACAACAACAACAGCAACCTCAACCGCTAACCGCGGCCTACCATACTACGAGAAACTCCGCCGCGAACTGCGCGACACCCTACAAAAGAAACGCCTAATGGATAAGAGCATGGTCCGTCCGCCCATCGTCCCCTCCCCAAAAACACTCAAACCGCCTCAGTAAGACTAACAAACGAAACCAGGCCCAACTCGAAGACCAAATCTACCGCTTCGAACAATCCTACCTCGAAGAAACCACCGCCGGCAACATCATCAAGGGCTTCGACAACTACATCAAGGGCTCCTCGACCGGCGGCGGTCTAGGCGCGGGAGGACTCTCGCTGTCTTCCGGGGTCGGAGGCGGAAGTGGTGGGGGAGGTGGTGGTGCCGGTGGAGGAGGCAGTGGAGGCGGCGGCGGTGGTGCGCGACGGAAGGCGCCCGTCACCGAGGCCGACCGCGTGTTCTCGAGGAGCTCGGCGAGTTATATGCGGGTTCGTTTTGCCCCTCCCCCCAAAACCCCCTGTCGGGAAATATGAGCGTGTGTTGTTGAGGCACCAAGTGTCTAACCTTGATATATAATGTTTAGGACTCCCCTGCCCCATCATCCGCCCAGACAACCCCTTCGCACGCGCCCACGCCTAATTCCACCTACAACGGCTCCTCGACCGGCAAACCCGGGAACAACGGAGACGCCTCCTCCGCGGCGAATAGCGTCAAGGGCCAATCGTCCAAAAACAAAAAGAAATCTGGCGGGAATAAGGATAAGTCTGCGGCGAATAATAACAATAGCAAAGACAACAACAACAATAACGATGAGGATGCGACGGATGGGGATCGGCCGCCGACGAAGCGCTTGAAGATCACTTATGGTCGGGACTAGTTTCGTGGTTTGTGGACGGTCTGGGTTTGTTGTTACTAGGAGTTTGATTCTCTTGATACGGAGCTTTGGCGCGGAGAAGAATACAAGCTAGCTCGATTTTCCTGGTTCTTCTTTGTCTTGGTATGGCCAAGGATGACTATGGCCATTTTTGCGGCGTGGGGCTGTCTGTATCTTACTTTCGTGATATCCTCTTGTACTGTACTGTACCATAACTACCCTTTGCATTGTTGGTGTTGATCCATGTTTTGACTATATATCAAGAACAACATCTGTGATCAATGAACAATATGTTTTCCATTGTGTGGCGGTCTAATACAATGGCCGATACCAGTAAGCAAAATACAACGCACAAAAGCTACAGCTGCAGACGGTATGTAGCCACCTCGAAGGCCCTCAGCTCGATATCAATATCCGTGGTGCCCTCGGCACGCTGTACAAGCGCAAGAGGAGTCTCGTCATCCTCAAGCACATTGCACTTCCAGACCTTGCTGATGGGGAGCTTGGTGTGGATGGTGCCGCGGCTCTTGCCTCCGAGCGACTCATAGATACGGAGGATGACACTCTTACCGGAGCGCCGAGGCAAATTGTCTCGGGACACGTCCTCGTCGTCCTCGCCACGCTTGATCACATCAATGACCAAAGACGGGTTTCCAAAGAGCGCAACCGATTTGAACGCGTCGCTGACTTCCTGGCCGCTTGCTGCTTCGAGGACAAGAGGATGGTTGAAGCTGTACCCGGCTCGGATTGTGCGCGCATCCAGTGGTCCTGCGTGTGGGAGAATAGCATAGCGGATGTGATGCCGGCCCATATCTGCGTGGGCATCTGGCGCCTTAGGGGCGCGCAGCAGCGAGAGACGCATCAGGTTGCCGGCAGTGGCGAAGCCATATTTGGAGTCGTTAAGGATTGACACTCCATAGCCGTACTCGGACAGGTCAGCCCATTTGTGGCAGCATACTTCAAACTTGGCCATATCCCAGCTGAATGGGAGGTTAGTGATAGATTTCGATTCTGCTGCAGATATGGTCAACTTACTTGGTGTTGTAATGCGTCGGACGCCGAATGATTCCATATTGTGTTTCATACGACGCCTCCGTGTTAGTGATGTCCACAGGGAACTCGACCTTGAGGAATCTCATGGTCTCACACCATTCGACCTCACTCTCGAACTCGACGTAGGAAGGCTGGGTTCCGTTCGCAGCAGTGAGGCTGATAGTGGTCTTGATCCAGCTATTCTCGCTGATCTGAGTTTCGCTAACGACACTGACACGGTAAGGATCCTTCTCGGAAATGGTCGTCTTTCCATAGTGCAGTTCCTTTCTAGAATCGAGATGGAAGACCTCCACATCCCAAGCCTGCCAGTAAAGAGGCTTGTCGTCGAAAATGACCAGTTGCCCAGCCTTCCCGTCCTTGGGGGTGATTTCACGATCCGCTTCACGGTCGTACAGAGATGTAATCACACCGTTTTGGATATCGACTCTGAGATTTTCATTCTGTAGACGGAAGACGCTAGGCTCGATTTCGGAGACTGTAACAGCAGGATCCGCCTTGGAAGGAGCACGGGTTTGGCATCGAATGAGGCCAGTCTCTCCATTGACCAATGTATACTTGGGACCGCCCGAAGCTACAAGTTCGGAGGGAACCTTGACAACTTCGGAACGTGGCCAAGGTAGTGTGTTGAGTGCGATGAACTCCTTGCTAGTCTTCTTGTTGCCGATTCCCAGAGCCCCGAGCGCTTCCTTTCTGACCCTCTGACCTGTTTCAAAGATTTGCTTATAGAGCTTGTTCGAGTCATCATAGCACATCTCGATGGAGCTTCCAGGAAGACAATCATGGAACTGACAGAGAAGAACACCCTCCCACATGTCATCAATATCCTTCTTAGGGTACTGATAGCCTTTGTCACCATGAAGCGATGCCAGAGTGGCAAGGTACTCGATCTCCCGGAGCAGAAATTCAGATTTGCGATTGTTTCGCTTGTTGTTGGCTTGCGTAGTGTACGTGCCTCGATGTAGCTCAAAGTACAATTCGCCATACCAAGTTGCGAATTTGGTACCAGCTTCCGCCTTCTTTTCAAGTCGTGCAAAGAAGTCATCGACAGATTCCCCCATCTTCACGCAAGGAAGCAAGCCCACTTTGTCACTCATTCCGCGGCAACGACGCAGCTTCTCCAGATGTTCAAAGGTTGGGCCACCTCCACCATCACCCTTACCGAAGACCAGGAGCGATGTATTGTCCTTGTCCAGCGATTTATGCTGAGTCACACTGCGTTTAACATCGCCAAAGTGGGCGCTCGCAGTGTAAGTCTCGGATGGAGGCATGTGACACATGACCTGACTCCCATCCAGCGCTACCCATTGGAAGGTAGTGTGGGGAAAGTTGTTAATATTATTCCAGCTAAGCTTCTGGGTGAAGAACCGGCTCATCCCAGCCAGACGACAAATCTGAGGAATCTGTGTAGAGTAGCCGAATGTATCTGGCAGCCAGAAGGTTGTACAACGTTCTCCGAAGTGACTCTGGAAGAAGCGCTGTCCGTAGAGAAACTGTCGCACCAACGACTCGCCGCTCGGCATATTAGTGTCGTGCTCGACCCAACTGCCACCGATGGGCTGAAAATGTCCCTTCTTGACCCATTGTTTGACGCGATCGAACACCGAGGGGTAGTATTCTTTCAGCCATTTAAACTGCTGTGCTTGGGAACAGGCAAAGCGATGCTCCGGATAGCGATCCATCAGATCACACTGGTTCGACCAAGAGCGGGCCACCTTACGCTTTGTTTCCGCCCAAGGCCAGAGCCAGCAAGTGTCGATATGACAATGACCAATTGCATAGACGATGGGATCCGTGTCGACGTCATATACCTGCGAAGAGTCGACTTTATCGCCGATATACTTCCTCGCAATCTTGCGGCCCTCTTTGATAGACTCTTGGCTCCCATTGCCCGCAATGAAAGCATCAATTATGGCGTTAGTCACCATGTTGGCCTCGTGCTTTTCCCAAGAATCTCCCGGGAACTCTCTCGCAGCATCTGAGCACAATCCCAAATTAGTGTGAG